CATCAAAAGGGAGATTATCGAAAACCCCAAAACCCCAAAACCCCATAAACATAATAAACAGAAATTGATAGAGTAAGAACTATTAAACAAAATTGTAAATTGATTATCAAGTGTTAGTGTTGATTACTTCTGCAACTATATACACACTCTTAAGCCAAGAAAACATTATGAATCCAACCATGAAGAATGGCAGAGCTGACTTAATGAAATAAAGCAGTCCAACGCTTAAGGAGGAACCGATAAGCAAATAAGGCAGAGTGAAGGGAATAATGACCAATCCACCAATTAACAACCTGAGTATTCCCTTTAAAGAGGATGTGTCATTGATTGTTGAAGGAGTGCCGCCCATATAGAATGAGTCATACAGCATTCCTAGGTAAGCACCAAATATGATAGAGACTAGACCTGTTTTAACGAAGGCACTATCTGCAAATATGCCTTTTATTTCCAAGGGTTTACCTTCATTACACTTTAATATAATCGCATCAAGCCACTCCTAGGGGTATTCAAAGTTGCTTCTTACAATATAGTAGTTCAAAGTAGAAAATATAACTATTCCTGCATAAATGCCAAGACACTTGAAAGCATAGTTCATATGATCGATGTTGGCAGGTTCTACCATCACTCCAAATGTTCTGTAGTAAGAAGGGTTATTGAATTCTAATAGCTTCTTAACATGTCTGTAAACAGCTGGTCGAACATACTGGAACATAAAGAGAGCTAGCCAAAGCCCGTAAGTCATTCCATAAAGAATCTAGTTTAAGCCATGCACTCCAAGTACTACTCTGCTCATAGGCACATTTATGACCATAAATATGACTCCAATTAGCGCTAAATAATAAGAGAAATGCTTTTGTTCTCTGTGGGATTTAAAAGGCGTGTCATGATATATGACCAGGAATAATGTGACGAAGTAGCAAGCTGAAAGACTAGAGTGGCCACTTGGGTTGCCAAAACTTTTAGAGCAAGCTAAAGCTTGGACATCTGGAGACATTATGTAAGGTCTCGGATTATGATATATGATCTTGAGCTCTTAGTTGAGAATACCTGCCACAGTATGAACTAGTAGAAGATAAAAGGCTTTCTCTCTGGTTGAAAAGGTGAAAAATAGCACAAACACTCCAACTGCAAAGTGCCCATATCCAAATAGAGTCATAAACTTGAAGTAGTATAGTGCGAAATCACTGATATCTTTTTAGACATCAGGTACTACTCTGAGAGTGAGATTAAAAAGTGGTTCACGATATAGCTATTCTGCCAGCACTATTGTTACGATAGCTGCTGAGAAGATCACCAAATGCCAAACGCTGCTGGTCTCTGTCAATCTTGAGTAGGCATTCTATTACTTCTGCCCCCTAAGAGTAGACTAACTTCTGAGATTTGAGTAATTTTTAGGCAAGATATTTTCATTCTCGTTAAGCTCTTGATACTGAGCCTATTCATCTACTTCTCTATTCATTATTATAAATTATATAGCCGTTTATTAATTCCGTCATATCTACTCATTCTACTAATGCTATAATAAAGGGGGTTTTGGGGTTTTGGGG